CACCACCTTGATAACCAATCAATGAGACATTCCTCCTTGGAATTCTCTTTCATACCAGTTGGAACATTATACCTTATTTGAATATTAACAAAATTTTTCATACATAGTAGATCAATGCAACTATAATAAGCAAACAGAGCCAAACAGTGAAATCAATATTTAAAGACCAAATAACACTTCGTAGTAGAAGATTGAACAGGCAACAACATAGCCCCTGAGTACGACTGAACGGTCAATGACCAGTCAGACCTAAGCATAGGCCGAACTCAGTTAAGGACCGAACGCTAGAATACTGTCAAACACCGGGTATAAGACCGAGTACTTAGACCATACTGAACACCAGGACAAGGCCGATTTCTAAAACTAGACCAAACACTGGTACAAGACCGAACATTAGTGTAAAACTGATCAATAGTACAAAACCGAACAGTCATTAATGGTAAGGTTCATCGGAGGCCGAACACAGTTAAGACCTAACCTAAATAATAAGGTCGAGTACTACTATGAGACCGAACACTAGAGTAACCGAATCACCAGAGCTAAACTGAACACTTATAACTTAGACCGAATACTAATGTAAGACCCATGACTAAGGTTAGACCGAACCCTAGTAGAAAACCGAGCACTACTAAGAGACTGAGTGCTAGTACAAGACCGAGCACTACTAAGAGACCGAGTGCTAGTACAAGACCGAGCACTACTAAGAGACCGAGTGCTAGTACAAGACCAAGCACTATTAAGAGATTGAGTGCTAGTACAAGACCAAGCACTACTAAGATATCAAGTGCTAGTACAAGACCGAGCACTACTAAGAGACCGAGTGCTAATACAAGACCGAGCACTACTAAGATACCGAGTGCTAGTACAAGACCGAGCACTACTAAGAGACCGAGTGCTAGTACAAGACCGAGCCCTACTAAGAGACCGAGTGCTAGTACAAGACCGAGCACTACTAAGAAACCGAGTGCTAGTACAAGACCGAACACCACTAAGAGACCACTCACCCACCTAAGACCGAACGATCATGAACGGGTAAGACTCTAAAGAGACCGAACCCAGTTAATGACCGAGTACCTGAACATGGCCGAACGGCCAATCAGCGCATGGCCGAGCGGTCAACAGTGCATGGTCGAGCGGTCAACCGCGCATGTTCAACTTTCTGCATAATTTTGCAGAACTTCTGCAGAATGATGAACACGCTAGACTTTACCAAAACTAAACATTTTTCCCAACTTCTAATCCTCCAGACTTGTATCATATATCAATTACATTATTTTAAGGGTGTTAAAACCTTTCTATACATTTTCTAAAGGGTCTGCTACCAGATTCACGATCCAAAACAACATCATCATCAACTTAAGGTCTCAACTTCAATTCTACTGGTTTTTGGCACAGTTTGAGTGACTTAGGGTCTTTAACAAGTCCTAAATATCTTACCTAAAATCTTTCCACTGACCAATTTAACGTCTAACCCTAAATTCCCATTTTCACTACCCCACTTCCTCAAAATTCACTGTAAGACAGTACCAGTAACTCAGCATAAAATCAATTCAACATGATAACAAATTTTAACAGCTCATACAAGCAATACCGATCACCAAAATCACTCAATTACATACGCATCAATCTTCAAAACAACAGTTACATACACAGTAAATTCATCAATTAAATTAACTAGCTTCCCTTACCTCTAACCGAACAGGACAACTTCTACAACCTTAAAAAAATTGCTTACTCTTCCAGGAAATTCTAAGAACACCAGTTCTAAACGCTAAACCAAACGGTGAAACAGGAAGCCCTTGACGCCAGGATCACTTAGGTGCCTCCTGATCGTCGAACAAATGAGTCACCGGTGAGAATTTCTAGAGAGAAGGGAGAGAAAGAGTAGAGAATAATGTTTTTAGAGAGATAGAAAGTATTTAGATAAGCGTTTTAAATTCTTATTTATACGGTTGACTTATATTAACACAAATGCTCGGTCTTGTTACTTTAATACATCTATCTACTCTTAACAGGCTATTTTCTCGATTCTTAGAGAATGTTCGTTATTTTTTTTATATTGGTTTATTAAATTTAAAGTAACAGTTAGAGTTATATTTTTTTACGATATTTATAAAATAATTTTGTAATTTATTTTAGTTTTATTAATAATATATTTCAATTAGTGATATGTAATACTAAATAATTTTGGTAAGAGTTAAAAATTAATATATATATTTTTTATTATTTTAAAAAATAATTAAATTTTTGATTAATTTTTTTTTAATATTATTTTTAAAGTATTTGAAAAGGATAGTTGTGTTATAACTGTTTTAGAAAATTCTAATTAGATTTTATATTTTAATATTTTTTAATAAATTATTATGCATATTGTTTATCTTTATAATAATAATATTATAATATATTAATATGTTGGGATGGTTATGTGTTATATGTTTTAGAAAAGTATTACGGTTTTAAAATCATGACTTTGTATGTTTTTTTATTGTAATTTTAATTGTTTTGAAATTATATTGACACTTTAGTAAAAATTGTGTGAAATTTTAATACGATTAGTTATGTTTATTTATATTTATTACAATATATTTTTTATTTACCTTTTTATATGTAATTTAATAAAACAAATTAATGTATTAAAATGTGTATTATAGTTTACAAATTTAATTTTAGTATTGATTTGAATAAATAAATATGAATATTTAAAATGATTAATTAAGTCAATTTCCGAATACATCAATATTTAATTTTACTAAAAGAATTACTTATTCTTTCCAACAATTTCATAAAATTAATCTTGTAATGATAAACCTTATGATCATTAAGTCAATTTCCGAATACATTAAGATACTTATTTCCTATTTAAACCTTTTTCACAATACTGCTTATGAGGAGAAGCTGTTATAAAATCAATTTTTTTTTTTTCAATAAGTAATAATTTTTCTCATTATAATAATGAATAAACTTCTAATTACTATAAAATCTCATAAAATATAATCACTAAATGATTTTATACTAAACTCACTTCCCTTTTAACATTAAACAAACTAGCAACGTACCATAATCAAAATGAAAAGTCTGCAATGGTTGACATTGAATTCATGTTTTGAAGCTTCTGGTTCAATTTATACACCAGATGAGCATAAGTTAACAAAATCCTCATCAATGGACAATTTCAAGGCTCTCCTAGTGCAAAAGGGCTGCCCTTTTTCATACTAATACATCAAAATATCAGTTTTCATTTTCAATACTTAGTGAGGTTTGTAGTCAACCCAAATCCAAATGGAAAGAGAGGATCATAATGTTTATCACCAACATTCATTGGAAGTTGGTTAACTGTCTTGAACCATGTTCTTGCAAGCTTGCCGGTGAATCCATAATCACCAAATAGAAGATCAGCGACACCTTGGCCTTCAGTTCCTGGAAGCCATGCAGCCACAAGTGCATCGATTTTTGATAGATATGGCTGAATCACAACTGGGCGGCCACTGATGACAACAACTACACAACGAATGGCCACACATACATTGGTGATTGTACTTGGACCAGGCTCAGGTATAGTTAGATTCAAACTGTCACCAAATGTTTCAGCATAGGTGGGTTCTCCCACAACAACAATGGCATAGGAAAATTTGTTTGACTTAACGAAGTTCGCATCAGGATTTTCATTGAAGACAACTTCAGTGGCAGGGTCCACAGTTTGTTTCACAGCACTGAGGATGGTTGTACCTGCGAGCAAAATGAAATTCTATCAGATTCTACAACTCCAACAGAAAGAAACTATAAGTGGCTTATATGATATGAATGCTTTTATGTCATGCCGGCCCTTGCAGGATTGAAACAAGTTCAGAATAGATATTTGAAAAGTAAATACAGATCATGATTTTAATATGCAACTTACTGCGTGGAAGTGACTAGTGAAATTATAGGATTTATGATTTCAAGAACAGAATGAAGTAATGAAAGGATAATGCTATTATACTAGACATACAGAAAAATGATACTGATTATGTGAGATAGAAAATACAAAGTAATCACCCTTACTTTTATACTAGTAATCTAGTATTAGTCTCTTCTTCATATTCTGACAGTAACATAAACAGGATTCTAGATTTGTGTCGTTTTAGAGTATTTTGGCAGACACCAACGTTAAACTTACTGACTTACCTGAAGTGAGATTCTTGTCACTAAGTCCCTGCCAGGTAATTGTCCATCCTCCACATTGGTAGCCCAAATTGTCAGCATGACTTCCTGCTACCAGTATTTTTGCAGACTTTTTGGGAAGAGGAAGCAGGGGCTTCTTAGAAGATTTACCATTCTTTAGCAACACAAGGGATTTCCTCACAGCTTCCCTTGCTAACTCCCGGTGTTCCTGTTTACACATGAATGGTACTCCATCAAGAAACAAACTCTTTCCACTTGAAATAGATGCAGAAAGAACATGCGCATTTGTCCAAAGGATAATAGTCTCAAGAAAATATACCTGTTTACCCAGTTGGTTTACAAGGCTTGGATCAGGAAGTGGATTTTCAAATAACCCCATGACAAATTTTACTCTTAAGATTCTTGCCACGGCATCATCAATCCTGCTAATTGGGATAATATTGTTCTTTACTTGACGGGTCAATTCATCAATGAACTCAGTGTAGTTGAAGGGAACCATAATCTGATAAATAATGAAACAGTTAACTAAAAAGTAAATAACAATACTAAATTCTCATGATGAAAAACCACTTTATATAGCTTTATTTTACTCTTTCGAAGTGATAATAAAATTTACCATGTCAATTCCAGCACTGACACCAGCTTGAACAGAGTATGAATAGTTGGCATGAGGTGGAGAGGTGATCCGGTCAATACCCTGCCAATCTGATATGACAAAACCCTGAAAGGTAGGAAAGAAGCGCGTCACATGAAGCATTTCCATTCATTTATATTTTCTACATGTTTTGACTGGTTCATGTCAATATTAAAATCATAGGACTGAATACAAATTTTTACCCTGAAACGTAATTTGTTCTTGAGGTAACCAGTGATAAGTTTTCGGTTAGCGTGCATTTTCACCCCGTTCCAACTAGAGTATGAGATCATTACTGTTGAAACACCCTTGATAATAGAGTTATAGTATGCTGGCATGTGAATGCCAAGCAATCCATTGTAATTGATCAATGTGTTGTTCTCATTGATACCATTGTTTGTGCCAACATCTCCCACATAGTGCTTGGCGCAAGCTGCAACCTTGTTCCTGGATCAAAGTAATTAAAATGAGAAGAAGTTTTTGTTTCAAGTGTCAACAAAAAAATATTGATGAAGTTAAATGAGGAATGCTTAAGAATGTGTCCCCACATTGATGGCCAGAGAAAATGCATGAGTTTAACATGTGATATCCATATTCTTAGAAGAAAAAATATTGATAAGTCTGAACATATGAGGTTCAAATTCTCAACAAAATGATTGATAACAACTAATCAAACTCACAGACAGATATGCACTGAGAAGATAAAACTGTTATTTGATCATTTGATTGCTTTATGTTGCAGTACAGTATGTATGAGAAACACATTGCATGCAGGTTTAGTGGCCAAGGCCTCTTCTAAACCTTCAATTTTCAACTAAATAATTCAAAATAAAATCCTATATTTTTGGTACATGAAACAATAAATGGTTTGGATGCAAAAGAAAGTAAACACAACCATCAAAATGGTTAAAAGAATCCAAATGTCTAGGATCATCCATTATGTTCTGTAATGCACACAGCAAGGTCTGCCATTAAACCAAAACATTGTATTGTTCTCAATGAAACTGATCATGTGCCACGTGAAAATGAATTTTCAAGTATTGATAATGCTATTTCTTTTAGAAAGGAGCAACAGTAGTTAAACTTTTATCCAAAAAAAAAAGCAATTTAAGCAAGAGACATTATGAAAACGTATAAATTGACAATGCTGTCACCAAAAACATAAAAAGGAAAGTCAAACGAATTAGAAGTTATAAATTTCAGTAAAAAAGTAGGCCCTCGGTAGAATCAATATGAAGACTAACTAGAAGCATCCAACATTTGTGCTTTATGAAGTTCATATATACAAATTTCAAGGACAACCCATTTATATATTAATTGTATTCTCAATAAAAAAAAACTGCAACATTTAACCACAAACAAAAATCTTACTTTCCAGCAACAAAGGGAACTCCCTTGACGGAATTGGCAGGGATATCTCCTTGCAAGCCAGGTATAATCTCAGTCATAGTTCTAACAACTCTATAGTCTTCACTGTAGCTTTCATAGCAACGTCCCCATCTTGGATCTCTGCAGACCTGTGGATGAATCAATTGAGAACATGTTATGTCAGCACACATATAAGTGTTGTATGTGGTCAAAACATTTAAATATTGCTCATTTACCGCAATACATGGAGCAAAGACATATGGAATTCCTGTTGCTCTAACTTCAAGAGCAGTTGCATCACCAATCTTTTTTATGAGCACTGGATCCCTGTTAAACAGTAGATCTCATTATCATAAAAGAACAAAATAGCATTCATTTTAAAGATCACATGTACAACTATAGCTTCCACCAGGATTACTTTATTAGTAGTTGGAAAACCAGATTCTCCGATCAAAATTAACAACTATAACTTCATGACTTGTTATTGTCATTTGTCCCTCTTTCTTTTAAAACCATTTCATGACTATTCTTTCTGTTCTAGCACATGCATAAACTTGCCTGGTAACTCCTAACCCAACATTGTGAGGGAAAATTGTAGCATTGTAGACATTGTTGTGGCCATGAACTGCATCTATTCCATAGATCATCGGAATTCCAAGGCGAGTAGACAATGCTGCTATCTGCATCTCATTCACCATTTTCTGCCAAGTCTCAGCAGAAGCCTTTGGTGCTGGAACACTGCCTCCCCCACTGAGAACACTCCCTGTTCATCAATGACAACATGCACAGAGATTTCTTTAACAACAAAAAATCCAGCACACACTCAAATACAAAAAACAGTACCAAGCACTTGATTTGGTTACGGATTTGATGAGAAACTTTCAGTGCTTACCAATGAAGTACTTCTTTATCACATCGGGAGTAGCAACTTCCCTTTCAATCTGTGTCATCTGGCCTATCTTTTCTTCCAGACTCATTCGCTTCATTAAGTCACTGATTCTGACATTAAGTGGCACCTTAGGGTCTTTATACTTCAAATACTCTGCCTCGGAAGATGAAACCAGACAAAACAGCAGAAGAAGACCCACAAAGGGTGTTGAATATCTCCCCATTTTAAAGCTTCAACACTCAAACCTATATGCAATCTGCACATAGCAAAAGGGATCAGAAAACTGGAAAATAACAACACCCCATTTCAACTCCTGAATGCCGAATAAAACAGTAGCAGAAAGACATTAAGACACACATGAACTAGAATCTTCTCAACCCACCAATAACATGTGAACCACATTACCATAACAAGAATCAAGCAAGAGCAAAACAAACTTGCCCTTTAAAAATCAGTAGCAATGCAGAGTATAGCTACTAAATAAGCTCAACATGCAAAACCAATTACCATAAAAAACCACCAAAAAAACTAGCTTTTACCTAGAGAAAGAGCTCAATGAAGAACAACTCAAGCTCTAGACACATAAAGATCTAAACTTTAGTGTCCTGTGTACCCCCACTCTTTAGTGCTGCTAAATAGAGAGAGGGAAGCCATTAAGAAGAGAAGCAGCCATGGTCCCACCTCTCAATAGCATCTTTCTTTGTTGTACATAACTATTTTCTTTTCTTTTTTATTGTTATTCTTGTAATTATTTTAACAAATGCTAAATTACAATATTAATCTCTCATTTATTTTATAATTTGAAATCAATCTTTTAAGTTGTGTTTATAGGCTTGTATTATTTTATAATAGCTTAATTAATTACCTTTTAAAGTTTGTCTTTATCATCCAAAATATTCAATTTCATGATTTTATTTAAGAAAAGCCGAATTCAGTATCGTTTAATATTTTTTTATCTGTTTATTTTAGAAATGCGTGTTGGTTCAACAGAGGGATTTGCGTTCAAATTCCGGAAGTTGATTCGTTTTTAATTTGTTAATTTAATACAAAAAAACTTCATTTTATATTATTTTCCCAAAAAATAATTTCTACGTGTTATTTTTTATTTCTCTCTTAAAAAAATTCCACATTTAACAAAATGACAAAATTCAGACGATGATTTCACCAGTTTCCTGTTGAATTTATTTCTCTTAAGCAGCATTTTGACAAAAACAACTTAAAATAGAACCAATAATTTAGCAAAGTGGAAAATATCATATATATCACCGTCTTTGTACCAAAAAAAAAATAAAAAAATTGAAAGAACATGTTGCATTGAATGCGCCTATAATCATTACATTACATTGCAGCAATATCTCTTCCCACCAGGTTTTCTTTAACCTACACAGTGATTTTTTTTTAACTTTTTTTTCTTTCAAATTTCTATTATTTTGTAATAGAGATTTTCATTAAAAAGCTACCAAATTAAGCTGAATATTAATTAATGTACCTAAACAACATTCTTCTCTTTTTCTTTACCATCTAATAACAATAAAGAAAAGTTTCAATAATAAAATTTCATAAATTTTTCCCCTGTTACAATATAGTTCTCCATTAAATCCTTATTTTTAAAATATATAAATTAGTATATTTTTTCTCTGTTACGTGAATAACGAATTACGTGTATCATCGATTTTAGTGACTGAATTACATCATCTTATTTTCAGTAGCACATTGGAACTACAAATTCCATGGTACTATATTAACATTTTCCTGAATAAAATCAAATTAAAATTATTTAAAATACTTAGATGAAATTAAAAATAGTATTATTTCTATTGAAAATAGAATTTGAATATTTTAAATTGAGAGGTTAAAGGGACCGAGCTTTCTTAGTTCTTATAGACGATCATGTCTTCCAAATTGTTTTCCATGTCTTCCAAATTGTTTTCCATATGTATAAATTAATATATAAATGAAAGTAAATTTATTTAATTTTAGTATATTTTATATATTTAGTATTTACAAACTTTTTGTGTCCTTATTTTGACTTTAAAATAATTTTTAAAAGTTTATGATTGAGAGTGATGTTTTATGGGTCAGGCGAGTAATTGAGTTGTTAGTAAATTATAAGAAGATATATATGTAAGAGACTCTCTCACATATAAATAATAATAATAAAAACTAAATAAATATTTTCTTAATGATAGTTTGTATTTATATACTTTTTACAACTTACAAGATTAGTTTTATCTCATTGAATCATATTAAACTAATCTTTTTCAAAAGTAGAAAAAATTAAAAATAACAAAAATAAAAATATGTTTATTAAAACTTTTGCTATAAAAACATTATCACTAGAACCATTCAAAAAATATTAAACTTAACTTAAACTTCGACGTATCTTTAATAAGTATACCTCATTGGTTGAGAAATACAAACCATTAAAAAAAAGTTAAATACTGAAAAAAGAATTTTGAAAAGAACATTCCACTTCATATACTCAAAGCCAATTTTATAGAATCATTAATTGAAAAAAACGAGACTACCCACCGGTCTTTGTCTTATCAGTAAAACAATTAATGGTGTTTGGTCCCTTCATATTCCATGCGTCCAACCCACAACATCAGCCGGCAAAACTTGACCAATTCCAAATCCAAACCAAACACGTCTTTGCAGCAGCAGACTAGAAAAGCAAGTTGACCATTAGCTTTTAATTATTAAAATTTCAAATGGGTAATTGACTAATTCCCTAGTAAATAATTAACATTCTAAGAAAAAAAAGAGAAACAAAAGTATCTAAAATTTAAAACTTTATTAACGTGTTACAATGTTCTAAAAAGTACCCAATAAAATCACAAGTGATATTAATGTCTAAAACACTATGGCCATTGAAGTTCATGAGTTGAAATTTTGTTCATGTTGTACAAAAAAAAAATAAACCTTAATTTTTCACATTTAATACCAAATTGAAAATTTGTCCATTTAAAATCCTAATATAGATAGCCTTACGTGTTACTACCTTTAACCATATAGAATCTTCTGTTCCAAAGAAACGCAAAACAAACATGAAAACACGTACGCGACAATAAAGTATAATAATGGAAAAGTTTTATAAGGCAACTAACGGATAAATTCTAACTAAAAAAGTACATCTAACATGCTTTTTTCAACTATTATTTTCTATATTTCTTTTTCAATTCTTCTTAATAATTTTTAATTTATACAAGTTTGTAAACATTTGTGTCATCTACTTGTTTTTAAGTAAGTAACTCACTTATCCTTTTGGTTAAAAATGAACTTCCTTTAAATCATTGAATGAAACACTATGACAAACACCTTTGGTTATGACTAACGAACATTATTTTTCTAAAATTTTAATTACTTATTTAAGAAATTAATTATTATTTTTATGTAAAATCTACCACCTAAAACTTTCACATTTATTGTATATTTTTATCCATTATTTTTTTATGAGCTATGAATTTATTTGTTTAATAAAAAGGCAAATGTGAACGTTGGGAATGTTCTGTTTACTTTAAGGAAGCGCGTTTGTTCAAAAGAGACTACTGTATCTTATCCATCGTGCGTACTAAAAAATTCTAAAATGACTTGTACTTTCTTTAATTTTTTTTATTCTAATAGATAAACGTTATGCGATTTTTAGAATTATTTCTATTCTTATAACTGTTTCCTTTTACTTATATTACGCGGTTTTTTTAATTATAACTGTAATCTTTTTAAACACTAATATATATAATATTAATTATAACGAAGAACCAATAATTTTTAAAAGAAAAATAAAAGATTTATGATTTTCTATGTTTTGAATAAGATTAAAAAATATCCGTATTTATTTGTCGATAAAATTTATAACGAATATTTAATATTTAATATTTATGAATATTTAATATCTAAATAACCTTTCTTCAATATCATTTATAAATAAGATTAAGGGTGAGTATTATATTATTTATAACTATGATTTTTATTATCTAAAAGAATTAAAATAAAATTTTAGTTTATATTATTATGTTAAATTTAATTAAAACTTAAATTAATTTATATTTTATTAGATTAAATTTAATTAAAAATAAATTTTAATTTATATTATATTATATCTTTATTTTAAAAATTTTATCACCTATTTTTTTTAATATTTTTTGAATTTACTATCTCTTGTTCCTTCCCCCTTTTTGTCCCCCTCTCTTTGCTCCTCCCGCCTCCCGTCCTCCTCCCTTGTTATTATGGATTAGATTCATTACGTTCTGGTCGACCCTCAATTCACCCAAGGCCCGTTTGAATTTTTGGGGAAGTAGTTGTTAAAGTTTTCAAAGCTTTTGTCCAAAAGTTTTCATTGCGTAAATGAAGGTTGAAGTGAAGTGTAAGTTTGTTTTTCATCTGTAAACTTATAATTATTTTTCCTTTTATCATTGTTATAATAGTTGTACCTACCTTAACCGAGTATCTATTTAAAATATACGAATTCTAATATATTTATAGACGTGATTATAAATATTTTTATATTTTTATTATCACTCAACTAAACTAATATAATAATTTATTATATTCTACAAAATTTTATGCCATTAAATTTGTTTCATTTAATTAAATTTATTTCTAATCTTGT